AGTCGTTATTAAAGCTGTGCTTTATATTTGTTTTATTGTCTCCTTGCAGAGGATGTGAAACAGGTCTTCAGCCAAACCACCATCCACCAGCACATCCCCATCAGCTGGGACTGAGAGTTCATACGGCTGCACTGACACATGGATGGACAAGCAGCTAAGCTATGGAGAGTTTGTTCAGTTTCTTCTGGTAGGTTTCATGTTAATCACCTGCTTTCTGCGTCTCTCACGTGCCGATTGTTTCTTACTCTGCTGGCATGAAATCATATTTGTCTCTCTTCACTTTGTACAGGCTGTTCATACAGCCTTGTCATGTAACTGTACTGTTAGATCTAAGTCTAACTTAGAGCTTAGTCAGACAAATGTGTGCTTATATGAAAGCACACTGGTTTTCTCTGTTTCTATCCCTCACACACAGCCCTCTAGATTAGTCATTAATGAAACACTAAGGTTATATTTTTGCAATATTTTCTGCATTTGTTTTCCATTAGCTGAAGCACACCTAGGATTAATCCACCTCTTTTGAAACAGGGAGGGCCAGTTCTAGCTCTGTAAGTACCATAGATGGAATATTCCGGGTGTATCTGTAGCATGTGAACCATTTTCCAATATGATGTCTAGACTTAAATCAAGCCTGAGCAGGGAGAGGTGGTGCAGAGGGGGGTGGGTGGGTGGCTGAGAGGGCCTGAGCTATGCCAAGTTTGCATCCACACTCAAAATATATCTGAATGAGCTTTTTATATTACACTTAACTTAGACCAGATGGCTTTCACACAGTGGGCAGCAGCACATGGGTATCGGGACATTGTTACATACATATGTATGATTCTGTGTATGTGTGTTCATCTGCTTTACCGTATGTGTGAGCAGTGGTACGCGAGCTTTGTGCTGTGTTTATATATTTGAGTGTACTTGTTTTTTGCATGTGTGTGCATGAGTGCGACTCTGTGGCGTTGTGGCCAGTAGATGCTGTACTTTGCATTGACAGCATGCCCAGTGGTTTCCAGCTCCTCACAGAAGCAGGCTCGCAACCAGACGCACTCACTGCTCAGCTATGAAATCCACATTTCCTGCTTATGCTCTCTGTTTGATCATTTCTCACAGCTTTTGATTCATGCCTTAATGAATGACAGAAGAAAATGGATTTCATGTTATTGAACAGTAGGATGCCTGTAAGGGTGAGGTGAGGCTTTATTTAAGGTACTGGAAATGCCAGGGGTGGAAGAAGTACTCAGATTGTTTACTTAAGTAAAAGTAGCAATACCGCAGTGAAAAATACTCTGTAACAAGTGAAAGTCCTGCATTCAAAATGTTACTTGAGTCAAAGTACAAAAGTATTAGCATTAAAATAGTCTTATAGTATGAAAGTAAAAGGACTTGGCACATTGCATATTAATGTTTGTCATATTTTTGCATGATTATTATTATTGATGTTATTTTTACATCACATTTATAGTTGCAGCTGTGAAGGTGGAGCTAGTTTCATTATCTTGTATGCTTAAAATTTGAAGTACTTCACACACTGCTGGGTAGCTTGTGAATTTTACACCAAGGATCAATGTGACTGTATTTTGTTTTATTAATCTTGTTCTGAAAAGTAACTTATCAAATAAACCTAGTGAGTATAAAGTACAATATTTTCCTCCAAAATGTAGAGAAGTCGAAGTATGAAGTAGGAGAGAATGAAAATACTCAAAGTACAGATACTTAAATTGTACTTGAGTAAATGTACTTAGTTACTTTCCTATTCTGCTAAATACCGTTCTGCATTTCATTCTTGTCCAGCTGCTTCACTGATTTCATGCTATTTGTAATGAATATTAAAAATATTACAAATATTCTAATTTGAGATGTCTAATGTTACTGTAGGCATTATTAAAGTTTACCACATTAATGAGACACATTAATAACTCTGCCATGGTGTATTACTTACTGCAATTATAGTACTTAGGTTTGAGTAAAGTTCAGGTGTTGAGTGTTCACTTGTGTGTTATGAGCGACTGCGGTGATTGATGACAAGACACAGACAAAGCACTTGTAAATGTCAGCCATAAGGAAAAGTACACTAACTACGCGGCTATAAGAGTTCTCTTAGAGTTGTCAGCACCCCCGTACCCCCTCCAGGAACGTTCCCATCCTTTATTTCCTCCTCTTCCTGCCATACATGCATGTGTTTATTGTGTTTTTCTGCCATTGTAACCACGCCACTGCCAGATGCTCACAGGATGGGATTATCAGGGAAAACGTTTGCGCCACATATTTCTCACAAGGGCTCTCTCTGGCCAATTACTGTCTTGATGGAAGCCAGAGATTCTCACCAATTACATGCATTTTTCTCGTCTCACGCATGGACGCAAGCCAAGGCTTCGCTCTCACTGTCAGCATTATGTTGTCTCTGGCAAAGGTATTACCGACGTCCAGAGAAGTGGCACATGGTAGCCCATATTATAAATTTTGGCAAATAAAGGGCTGGAATTACATAAAGGGGACACCACATGTCCGGCTACTTTCCTAAGCACTCAGAAGACATAAATTGTTGGCATTGCTCACATTTTAAAAGTCCCAATTATGTTTGTCTCTCCCAAGAATCAGTGGGCAGCCCTTAACATCACTGCAGGGCTGACTGGCACACATGTAAATGGGCAGTTGTGCTTAGGCTTCTCCTTGTAATAGCTTTAGCCTGGTGCTGATGAGAAGATTTGAAAGGAAGAGAAACAATCCTGCTCCACTCATATCTATTGTTTAAGTTTTGAAGGTTTTGAAAACAGAGGTGGCTTCTGGTGTGTTTTTATTCTCATCCAAAGACAATTAAAGTGGCTGCAAATGCTACAGCATTTGTTGGCTTAAGCCCCCAGATTTTTGTCTCCCGCCTCCCTGAATCCCCTTCCAAATAAAAACCATGTCCCTGAAACACTGCATCAAGTTGCAGCAAGTTAAGATTTTAAGAGGGTGAAACTATAAACTGCTCCATCCCCTGAACCGCAGTTGTTTTGTTGCTGTGTGTTGGTTTTTGGGGCTTTTCAGACTTTTGACTTGTTCCAAAGAAACGAGATCAGTGTTTTGTTTTGTTTTTTCATTTATAGACAGACACAAACACACAGACAAATGTTTATCTGTAATTTGGCACATGTATATGATCAAACAGGCAAAACAAATCGCAGCTTCACTTTTCTTTTTTGTTTTGACTTCAGATTTTCAGCTCCCCTCCTCCTTCTCCTCTTCCTATTTTATTTCTCAGCAAAGTGTTTTGACCTACTCACAACTGACCGGAGAAGTGAGTCATGACACTCAGGATGCTGACACCAAAATATCTCACCTTATTTATTTTAGAAGTGTTTACGTGTGCCAGTTCCTCTTCGTTGTCTTGCCTTCGACTTACTTATACACTCTCTGGAGCCCCTGCTGTGCTTATAGGTGATACTGACACACGGCTGCTACATTTGCTGTTTTTGGAAATCTGGTTCTTTTGTTGCAATGTCTAATTTTACTCCCCTCCAGTCGCCACTCAGCTTTGTGTAAATGTCACTCTTCCTCAGTCGTTTCTCTTGGGCACCACGAATTTAGAGTTTGATCAGTTACGCTGTCAGTGAAGTATCACTCAAATTCAACACAACAATAAAACATAGTCTCATAGGGTTTTGTGCTAATACCACTTTTTGTGTTCTCTTTGTAACAATAAATATAGTTTGACATATTATCATTCAGTTTGTGTTCCTATTGGAAAAAATTGTTTAAGATGTATTGGATTATGTGTGCAATAAATTTAAGATAAATGTGGCTTTATAAATAGAAGAAGATAGTATTATGTTGCAGCTAGTGCTGGAACTAATACCCAGAGTTATTCAGTTAACTATCATAAAAACAAAGCAAGAGCCAACAAATTTTCATGTGTGAGAAGCTGGAAAAAAATGGAACGTTTGGAAAATTTTCTTGAGAAATGATTAAAGAGATGAATTAATCAGCATAATGGTGGGTGGTTACTTTTCAGCTGATTAATTCAAAGACTAACTGACTGATCATTCCAGGTCTATTTTATGTAAGAAACAGAATTGAGGAAAGCTGAGCCAACATGCTGGTATGTACTGATATGTGAGTGAGTAAGCTTGAGTTTGGCTGGTATTGTTTGTTTTGTTTGTTACAGTGTTTTCACATGTCACAAACCACGAGCATAAAATGACAATAGCCTTGTAATTTTATTTTATCTTTTTGCGTGCTGGCTCTTTTTTTTTTTTTTGCTGTTCTTGTATTAATGGCTCCTAGAAGCTTAAATACTCTGCAGGTGAGTCAACAGCCAAACCAACTAGCTTTAGCTTGCTGCCCTTGTGCTTATGGCTGTATTTCACAATGACTTTTTGACTCTGTGGATTATTATTGTTCTGATGTCCCTCTCTTCTGCTGTAACTCAGCATCTTGTTAGAAGACAGAGGAGGTGTCTGTAGCAGCGGTTTGTTTACAGCCTCTCTGTAGACTTGTGGTTGCAGGTACCGATAATGGCTGCTAATTTCAAAGACCTTGTGGGATTTGCTCCCACCACTGCCTGCTGTTGTCCCTGTGGACCTTTGTGTGCACGTGTGTGCAAGAGGAAAGACTAAGTGAGCACTTGGGCGATTAGCTGCCTTGCCTGTGTGTGCACGTCAGTCTGTGTGTGTTTGTATGTTTCTCCCTCAAGTGGGTTTAATGGGGATTTGGGGAGGGAGGGTGTGAAAAGCCCAAGCGACGCCTCACAGTAGGCAAGCCACTGCTGGGAGAGGAGACAAGGCTGAAGACTGGCCAAGAGCCGGCTCCCCGTAACCGAGAGGGGGATACAGTACCAGGGGGCCCATCAACGCACATGCAGTGGTTTTTGTCATATGTGTTTATGTGTGCAAGTTAATGTGATTTTAATTTGTGAAGGCAACTTGAGGGGGTGTATGACACATATATGTGTACCATAAAAAACATTGACTATATGATCTAACCCCTAGGCTTCCCTTTGTCCTCTCTCCTTTCACTTCCACAAGGAGATGCAGCTGAAACTTGCATGGCAAGTGTTTATCCAGCGGGACCAAGGCCACTGTGGCTCCTCCTCAGCCCTGGACTTCAGGGGCATCACCATCTGGCCGGACACACTCCCAGCCTTCGTTGAAGAATGCCTCGTGGTGGTGGGGTTTATTTTGTTTGTTTGTTTGGCTCTGCAGTTTACTCATCTATTTGTTTTGTTGTCATCCACAGAGCCAAAGTTAGGGCGGTAAAAAATAGTGACTTGGGTCACTGCTGTGCACCTGGGAGATATTTTGTGTTTATGTGCTAGGAAAATGTTGCACAAATTGGATGTATTCTGTTCATCAGAACCAAAGTGATCAATGAAGTCACTGTATCATAATAATTTCACATACTAGCTGTAGTTTTCCTTGGCCATGATAAAGGTAAATGTACATCTGTATTCATCACTAGTGATGCTGTGCTGCATTTAAGTGTGCATATATTTAACAAAAGGTAAGATGATGCACACTCAGGAATACCAGAAATGAACAATGCTGTATGAGGAGTGCCTCTGAAATCATAGTAAAGAGGTAAATGCAGAACTGTTTTCTTGCATTTTAACTACTTTTGTCTTTCTGTTCCCTGTGTTTGCTTCTTTCTCTCTCATTCCCACAGCCAAACATTGTGGCTTTCTCTCCCCCTCCAGCTGTCCACCTCTTGTTTCTTCTTCCTCTTTACCTTTTCTGTCACCTGCCTTTTCTTCCTTCCCTTCATTTTTTTCCTCACTCTCCTTCTCTCAGCTTCCCCCGTTTCTCTCCTTCCCTCCCCCTTCCCTCATGTCTCTGTCTCTCTCCCAACATGTCATTAAGTCTAACCTCTCTGGCAGTGTCAAAGCCAAGCAGGCCAGCTGAATGAGAAGAGAGACAGAGATAGATGGAGACTGGAGCTTTACAGTCCATCATTTTTGCTTGTGTTTGTGTGCGAGCAGCTGTGCATGTATACTCTATTAGTTTAAAATTTTGAGATGTTTGTCTTTTTTGTGTCTTGGCTTTTCTTTATGTATTACTGGTTTTGTTCATAAACACCTTGTTGACTCATTTTTTCTGCTGTGTTTATCTCACTGACAAGATATCTTGGTGTGCTCTTAGTAAACTCTCTCATAACACACACTCATGCACGCGTGCACACATATATAAAAAAAACCCATAAACACTGCAGACACATTACAGGAGGTATTATAGCACAAAACAAACAGTGAAACAACAACCTTTAATTCACTCACCAAACATGGTTAATAATCTTCTCCTTCAAATATTGTTTTCCTCTCCCCCTCTGTGAAAGACTCGGATGGATATTGTGGGAAGATCCATGCCTGTAGACTCATAGATGTGAATAAATACAAAAGTGTGTCTCTGTTTAGGGCAGTTTCACCCAAAGCCAGAGTTTCTCTCCCTTGTAAACACAAAAAGCTGCAAGCAACCTCACTTCATGTGTCTGTAAAGCAAACAGTGCCATCTAGTGAAAGGAAGCTCTAAATTTTATGGTGAGAACAGCAAAGCCTCAAGGCTCATCTGATGCTCTTACATGAACTACCCAAAACAGGCAACAACATCCAGGGACTGTACTTAAAACACATTACTAAACAGACAGTATTTAGAGCTGAGAGTCTGAGATCCTGATTTGATAAAGATGGTTTCCTGGTTCACATAAAAGAGTTTGTGGGCAGCCTGGAATGTCCACAAGAGCACATCTATTTTTAATCTGTTACCTATTTTCTATTTTGTGTTCTTTTACAACTTCTTGCACTTAGCAAAGGACGTTACATATATACATAAACTCCTTGAGAGCATTCATTGTCTGATGGAAGAAGTAATGATAGAAACAGGTTTGCTTCAGTGGCAGAGAGGAGCATTTCTGGTTAACCGCCAGTATTTGTCAGGATCACCTCTTGACATGATGTTTTAGCATTTCTTTCATCAGAGTCTGTTTTATTGACCAGTTGTGTCAGACACATGAGGAATCTGACTCAGGTACATCGGCTCTCAATGTGTATGTATATATCCCCATTCAAGGGGCACGTAAACAATAAACCATCATAAGGCTGTGTAGTATAACAAAATAAGCAGTATTAACAAGCAACAAACAGTGCAAACAATGCAAAATAAGCAGTATAAACAGGCAGTAAACAATGCAGACA